CTGGCCTCACTGCTGCAGAGTGGCTCGCTAGTGATAGATTTTGATGATTTAATGCACATCTCCTGTAAACTTGGATTTATATGACCAGATTTTGTGTTATTTCCAACCTCCCAACACACACACCCAGTGCTGGCGCTTGAACCCAGAGCGTTTGAAATAAACTATGTCCCCAGTCTTTTTTTTTTTTTTTTTTGCGGAACCGGGGATTGAACTCAGATCCTTGCGATTGCCAGTCAAGCACTTATTCTACTGAGCCATTTCCCCGGCCCCTGTCCCCAGTCTTTTTAAAATTATTTTGGATCAGGGAGTGTCAAAATTGCTCAAGCTGGTCTCAAACTTCTGATCCTTTGACCTCAACATTCACAGACAACTGGGATTACAGGTTTGTAAACCACCACGCCTGGTTTGACTAGTCATGTTTTATAGCTTAGATTCATTTTTCTCTTGTGAAAATGATGCCCTTTGTCCTCCTATTTCCATGCAAACCACAGAAAATCATTAACAATCTTACACTGAGTTGAAGTATAGAATCGATGTGGACAGAATGCCCAGCAAATAGGCACTCATGTACTTACTGAATAAATATTTAATTTTTGAAGCCTGGCAGCAGCCTTTCTTATTAGCATTAAAAGTAGGTTACACTGGTTCTCTAACATACTTAGCTATTTCTTCTTTAATCGGGGCCAAAATACTGATTTTTTAATTTTAGAATTTTTACCTCTTACTGTTCCTGTGATAGCACATTCATACCTCACTTAGCCCGTGTGTTTTGATTCTGTTGTGGTTCAAGATGTGTACAGCCACACACTGCCTAACCACAGGGACGGATGCCTTGGGAAAAACGTGTCATGGGACAATGTCACTACACAAACACTATTTACACGTGCAACTGTCTACACACCTAGGCTAAAATGGTGTACACCTTCAAGCAGGTGGTCTGTCCTGGACCAATACCTTGTTATGTGGTGTGTAACTGTATATCAGGCTTCTTATTTTTAAGTACCTTTTTCTACTTAAAAATAGTGATCTCTAGATGGTTCTTCAGCAGAGTCTTCCAAAGGCCACTTCCTTTCATACCGGATAGTGTTGAAGGCACTGGCAACACGAAATAATAATTCTTGCAGTGCTGCAAAGCCTTTCTCTCTGCTCTGTGTTCATTGTCCATCCTCTCTAGGGAAGGCTGGGTGTTGGCCTGGACAAGTTCCAAAACTGAATGGGATATGGGATGCCAACAGGAGTCAGACACTGGAGACAGCTGCGGTCGAGCAGATGTCACCAGCAGGCACAGAGCCAGCTGTCATGTCTGGTGCTGAGGAGACCTCTTGTGCAATAAATATATAGTCAGAGTGACTGTATTTCTTCTTTATGGATAGAATGACTTATTTTTTTCTCTGTCTGAATTTTGGGGTTGATTTTTTAGTGTTTTTTTTGTTTGTTTGTTTGTTTTTGTTTTTAATGTATTTGGTACAGGGTCTCACTAGGCAGCTCTGATTTGTAGTGATTTTCCTGTCATCAGCCTCCCCAGCTCTGGGATTACAGGTGTGCGTCATCACGCCCAGACTTTGTCGCTGGCTCAGCGTGCCCGGGATCAGGGCCAGCACAGCATGTGGTGCGGGGGACTGAACCCCAGTCCCTGTGCTTACATAAGCAGGCACTTATTCCTCTGAGCTATCTCACCAGCCCTGATTTT